CTTGGGCAGTATTACAAATGTTTATAGCAGACAGCAGGACATGTGTGCAATACAGCATGAAAGACTGACTCATTACTATGAAGGCTGGATAACTATAGGTGTCATTGTAGCAGTGGTGCTGAGAGACCCATCCTAGTTTTGCAATGATCATTTTCTGCTAGCAGCCCTCAGAAGAATGTTAATATCCTGATTTTACAAGAAAACAGGGAGTGTGTATTTAGACTGTTGAAAAATTAGATGGTTCTGTGCTATTCCTCCTCTCCTTCCCTGCTTTGGGGGTGGATCAGTTCCTGACCTGCTCAGGTCATGTTGGCGTCAGTGAGCCCACACCTGTCAACCCCCTAGCCATTACAGGGGGAGTATAGGAGGGCAATTTAGTACCTGTCTGCTATAATGTCTGGGCCAAGGGAATTACCTTCAGCTGTCACTGGGGTCTCTAACACCACTGCAATTCAACTCTCTCACCCTAGCTAAGGAGACTAAAGCCAGGGTGAGCATATTATGCCTGAATTCTGCAGCATTCAGATAGGTATTGGTGTGTTTATTGGAGAAAGAGAAGGCTGGACTGTGTGGTCATTGCCAGAGGTCTGGCAAGAGTATCACAAAGAGGTGTCCTCTGAGGTAAAAACACCATATGGGAGCAAGCCTAAGTATATGATTTGGTCTAGTGGCAGCAAGTATACATGGCATCCCTTAAAATGTCTCACTACTGTCATTATGTAGATTCAGGAAGGGGCACGTCCTGCTTGAGCCAAAGGAGATGGCTATAGGCAGAGTGTTACCACAGCTATCTACCTCAATTCGGTCGGAGAAAATATGTCCAGCAGTTTTTTGTTACATTGATATGGAAGTAGCGGGAAGGGTGTGAAAAGATTCAAAGCCCACCAGCTATCTTCATGTAGATTATTAGATTATAGCTGGTGGTGTGATACGGGTTAGTCCCTTGGGGTGCTTTCTTGCATCCACTTCTGTCTTGCCCAGTACCTTTGTCAAATATCTCCTCTCTCCTGTTATGTTACGTACGAAGGGAAAGAAGTCCCACTCACAGAATGAGAAGGTGACAGCGCTGAGCACAGTAGAGGCACTGAGCAGAGTACAGGCACTGCAAAGAACACAGCACACTTGAAACCCATTCTGCAGTAGCTCTGCTAGGATGGCAGCACAAACTGGGATTTAAAGTGTTTGTATTCCTGAAGTGATCATGTATGATTGGATATGTTGGAGCTGATATGTTGACAAAGGTGGTGACAATTTTTAGGCAAATGTGGTAGTCCAAGTGAACGCCTGGTGTCTCTGGAGTCACGTACACAGAGAAGGGGGAGGTGAAATTGCACCAGTTACTTTCTTCATGCTAAATTATCTTTAAGACTCAAAGCTCACCTCAGAAATGAATCTTTCATGACTCACCGAAAGAAGAGAGGAAACCCTGTCTAAGATACAGGCACTGTTTTTGTCCTGTGCTATTTGTCTGGGAGCCAATAGTCTCAATTTTCATTCTCGATAATCTGTTGGCCTTGAGAAAGTGCAGCAGTGAGTTACAGTGGAGGGACCGTTTAGCAGGAGAGCTCCTTCAGAAACGCCCTACTTGAGATAAAGTTTCTGTTTCTTGTAGGTCAGAGAGCTACTCTGCTGGATAGAGAGGCAGTCACGTATGCTAGTAAGCCAGCAATGTGGGGAATGGAAAGCAGCCTTGCATGTGCCCTCTCTCATTGGGCTATCATTTGATAGAGATCCCTGTTTCCCCTTCACCCTGCCTTGGTGATGGGCCACCGGTGTTCAGTGAAAAGGATGACTAAGGGGTTCTTCACCCAGCTACTGCCATACCGTCTCTTCCTCCACACAGAACACTTTCCACACAGAAATATGCCCAGCATATGTGGTTCAGAATAAAGCACCATATGTATTGTTTCTACTGCTGTATATGCCACATACTTTATATATCTTCTGCATAATAAATAGCTATCTGTGTGCTGATACTCTAGGCAGGGCTGGTTATGCAGTTTATTGTAAAGGTTGCTTGAAACATATAAATCACAGCTACAAACTTACAATAAGTTGCATATAATATTAAATATTCAACCAATACTCAACCAGTTCATACTGGTTTTCCATACTGTGTTTCTTTCCCTCAGGCTAAATTTGGTTTATCTGTTCGGAGAACAAGACTGGGGAAGATAACATTATTTTAGCCACATTAAAATAGTTCTGTTGACTGGACAGCTGTTTCCTCCTCTCCTTCAGCTTAGGACCCAGGTGTCTCAGAATCATGCCCTCCACAGGCCCCATGGCCACCCTTTCCAGTAGGCTTGCTTCAGAATAATACCAGTTCTCCTGAATTCACAGCAGGATTTGTTACAGATACATTTCCCCAGGGCTCTGAAGTAGAGGCTGAGCCTGCAAGAAGCTCCGTGACTGAAGCCCAGCAGTTCTACAAGTTATTTTGAGTCCAGAGTCAGGCCGCTGTTGGGACAAGATGAAGTGCAAGGGGAAGCTTCCCAGACAATGCAGCAGCAGCACAGTCTTATTTTCTAAACAGAGCACTTGATTTTTTTTCACATGGAAAGAAGTGGTTTAATGCACATATAGCTTTATTATATAGCATCTTCTGGCATAACTGCTTAGTATGCCCCCTTTTTGTTTCCCTTTCTGTGAAGCATTAAATTTACCTGCTTACGTGAAGTAAGTGGAGACATCTACAGATGAAGTGCTGTGAATCATCATCATTTGTTCCTTTTATCTTAAATGGTAACTTATGAGCTTTTGGGAAGGTCTCTTAATCTGCTCAGTGTTTTGTAATTTGGTGACATTCAAAGTGATACTTTTTCGAAGCCGCTGATTACACACTAAGGCCTCCATCCCCATGGTACTTCTGAAAGCATAAAGCCTCTATCACTGCCACTACTGGGTTAATTATAGAAGTCAGACACTGAGCCACCCAAGAAGAACAGACTGAAACCCATCTACCAGAGAGCATTCATAGCCAGCCTGTCTCAGTCAGAAGAGTCAGGCAAATTCCTGACAGTACTCTTTGAAGATTATTAGACCCTTCTTTCTACCTCAGCTCTTCCTCCCCTGACACATGCAGACACACTCACGCCCTCCTCCAGGCTCTGACAGACTTGTCAGAGGGAAAGAATTGCGCAAGCAGAGCTCTTAACAGGGGAGAGAGATTCAGCTGTCAGCCCAGCACTCCTTTCTGGAGCTGACAGCAAGAGTGTCTAGCTCAACAAAAGGCATAATGTGCCTTAGGTTATCAGCAAATGGAATAAAAGCCTTTAAAGTTCTACCAGGCGCTGTCTGCAGTGGGATGCCCTTTGAAAAGCCACTCACTTTTGGATCCACCTGCTCAGTTTGTGTCTGAATCCTTTTCTGCCCACAGAGAGGTTCTAAGGCTCAGCCCCGCTGCCAGCTACGGGCGAAAGCCAGCTCTGAAATGGCTGATAGTGGGGGGGATCTGGCTGTGCTCAGGCACAGGTCGTATGCAGGCATGCGTTGCTGCCAACACTGAGGTCAAACAAAATGATGTTTGGAAGACCATACAGTCTGGGGAGTAGCTTCAAAAGCAGAAAAGCTCTTGGCAGTCTGCAACGGACCCTCATCATCAAAGGAATGGGCAGCCCTCTTGGTACAATGACTGTGTAGAGTAGAAGGATCTTTCATCTGATGCTCACACCCTTACAAAACCTAAAGAACCGTAGCACGCGATGAGCTCTGCTATGTGCCATTCCTTTTTTACCGCCCTATCACACGTACATATCTTCCCTCCTCTCAACCGAAACCCCCTCATCAGCCACATTTTGGCTCTGCACTAAAACTGAAACACATAGGTCTAAAATGCTAAAGATCTCAGTGCTGTTGTTTCTTTACCAAACCTGTAGCAAACAGTGAGGAGTATGATGAGAGATTCATTTTTCACTTACCAAAGATTAGATTACCCAATTTGCTTAGAGATTATCAGATCAAAATCCGACATAGCTGATGGTATATTTCCTCACCCCTCCCTCTGTGACCTTTTAATGTATTGTAAACTGCTGAGAAAGTTATTTTAAATGTCTTTGGTGGTTTAAGGTAGGGGTTTGTGCTACCTCTGCATCACGCCGCCTTTCATTAAAACGGCCGGGAATGATTCAGCTCATCAGAGGAGGGTTTGCTTTCCAATTTCTGGGATTTAGAAAATGGCAGTGAGGAATTTGCATTGCTGCTGTTACCATCAGCAGACTGTACGGTAGCGCAAATGAGCCTAAAGAAGGAAAGCAACAGAAAGGCTCGTACGGATGCTGTGTAGCAGTGGTGCGCAGCCAGCCCTTGGCCGGCAGTTCTCTTGCAGGGGCCGTTCTGCTGCAGGTGGCCAAGGGCCAGTGCTGGTCCCTGGACCCGGGGGTGAGCTCCGTGCCACTGACTGTCACCTTCTCTTTGTGCAGGACGGCGGGTGCAGCTGCCCAGGAGATGTCGCCAAAGCCTTTGGTAAGGACAACGCGTGGTCACGCCCCGTACGCCCGCAGCCATGAAGCAGCGGTCAAGTTGACCTTGCATGTGTAATCGGCAATAGGTGACATTAATACACCAGACATCAATTTGCTCTTTGGACCAAACAGTCCAAAACACACAGGGGTTGAAGTCCTATTTAGAAACTATCTGCCGGGTGTGCGTGAGATACAGCCACTGGGACAGTAATACAAAGAAAACTGATAAGGGGTTCTTCTGAATAGGGTTCAAAGATGTCCGTAATATTGCCAGATCTGGCCGACTTGGGCCTTGAATGGAAAAAGAGCTGGTGGAATGTGTGTTGGACAGAACAACAAAACAAAAAGGCAGGCTGGATCCCAGGAGATGTTCTTGGGATCAGCTGTCCTCTTGAAGAGATGAGATTTTATTTATACTGTATCCCCTAGAGCTGAGCAGATATCTAAAACATCTAAGTTAATAATTAACAGATTTTGCTCTCGTGCCAATAGCTTCAGTGAATTGCACCAGCTCTTGCTAATAGAATAGAGAATTTAATCTGTGAGTATTTTCTGTTGGGCATGATGGTTACATCGGTGTGGGGGTCAAGGTCAGGATTGTCACTTAGCCATAACCTTGCTGCAGCAGCCTTTGTGAACCAGGTACTAAATACAATCCAGGCTGATGGGACATTTAAAGACACTCCCCCACCCCCCCCAAAATGCGAGACCCTTTGGAGATGTCACGGTGGGGTAATACCCGGAATACAGTGGGGCAGCACAGTTTCTCATTGGGATTTCAGGGTGGTACAATACAAGAGAGAGCACATTATGATACAGCATGTCTGCTTGGCAGGAAGCTCTGCAAGTATGGAAAGCAAGGGCAGGCCTAAACTCAGATTACAGACCTGCCAAGAAAAACTCTGGGCCTCCTGGAAAGTTTGAAACCAAAATCTGTCTTCCGAGTTTGCGGACAGCTCCTGTTTTTAGACAGGTCAGATGACAAGACAGACTTAATTAGAGAATTTTAAGCACGGCCGTGGAGTGACTGCTACCAGCAAGGAATCTGATCAGTCAGGGGATTTCATATTGCCCTTGTGTTACCCAGTGGGTGATGTGACGTAGGGAATAGATACTTCCAGTTGGGTGATTCTGACGTAGCTGAGCAGCGGCATCCACCCTCTTTGACAACAAGATTGTATTAAAAAAAACCCACTCAACCTCTCCTCAGCCCAACCCACTCTGACATCATGCCGCCTGCAGTGAGGCCTTTGTTCTGCCTGACTTTCTCTGGCTCCGCAGCTCGCCCGGTTCTTGCTGGCGTTGTTGTCGTTGGGAGCTTGTGAACTGAGATTGCGACCTCCCTGCATTCCCAGCTGCCTGCACAGAAACCTGGCCCGTGGAAGAGCTCTTTCTTCAACAAGAGCAGTTCCAGAAGTCAGAACAACAGGAAGCAACTTCAAAGTGTTTAAAATATTTTCCTTTATGGTGTTTATAGCAAGTCTGTAGGGTCCTTGTAGTCTCTTTGGGCTAACTGAACAGAGACTTGCTTGAAACTGTGAAAGGGCAGATTCTGGTCTTGGTGTTGTTCAGGAGGTGCTGGGATTCACAGTGGTATGTGTTTGAAGGCTACCACGGCTTGTCCCTGGGACCGAGGAGCATCAGAAAGCTGAGATTACACAGGCAGTAATTCTGCTCTGACAGTAGGCCAGACAGATCCATCTGACCTGTGTGTCACAGGTACAGGGCTGGAGCTGATAGAGATTACCCTAAGGCAATAAATTTACCAGATCTGGTTATGTATAGTTGAAGTAGACACGCCGTGGACATCTGACTAGCTGGAGACAGGTGTGCCTTTGTCAAAGGTGGGTGGCAAAATAAGCTTCTAGATAATATCGTTACTATCAGTGTTTATTGAATGCTGTTGAGGTGATTTGCTCTATGTGAGCCACGTACAAGATAGATAGCCTCCAGGCCCAGCATTTACAAGCCAAAGCCTTGATACTGATACTGAATTGTCTGGCAGAGACCTCTGCGCTTGCTGAGAGCCTCTTGGGGAGCGTCACATAAATACATTGGGTAGCAGAGACCACGTGATAAAACACACACGTACAAGTTCACCTGGGGATGGAGGCCTGGACAAAGCATGGACAAGAGACCCAAAGAGGAATTTTAGGTAAAGTGATTCTCTCTTTTTTGGTGGATCATTGTAAAGTCTTCATGAAAGGGATGTTGAGGTGTTCTAATGTGGTGACAGAGCAGCCATTTGAATCATAAAAAGATGTGAAGGCTAGCATTGACAAATGGCTAAAGATGTGACTGGAGGAGGCAAGTTCGTGGGAACAGGAGGAGCAGAGTGGATTGAGTACAAGTGAAGAATTGTGAAGAACTGTGAAGAAGATGCTGAGAAGCTCTACAAGTGGAAGGTGACACCATTGACCGGTGTCAGGAGTCAGAGGCAGACTGGGCATTTTGACAGAGTGGAAGCAAGGTAGAAGCCTATTTAAAAAGGCAATGAACAGAGAAACACTGAAGGTGGGGGACAAAAATGCCGGGAGTGACAGATACTTTGGGAGAGACTGCTGGAATTCTGGAACTGCCAGATGGGAACCTGGTATGGATTCAGTAAACTGAAGATGTTGCTGCCATCTGGGTATTGGAGATGATAATGGAAGAGATATAGGCTGATCAGGAAGAAGAGAGGTGGTGTGATTCAGGAATGAGAGAAAGCATGAAAGAACTTCGTGTTGGGCTCTCAGATGGTTCACATAACAGCACCCTTGGAAAGGCTGATAACATGAACACATTTCTCAAAATGCCCCAGGGAGACACTACTGTCTCCTTTTTTAAAGATGAGAAGTCAAAGCACAGAAATGCTAAGTTCAGTTGCCTGAGGTCACATACATTTTTGTGACATCGCCAGGAACAGAATGTGCCTTTTGAATCCTACGCCAGCATCTTTAACACAATAATGCTGTTCCTTACAGCAGTGGTGAGAAGAGATACAGGAGCAAGGAAGGAAAAGGAAGGAAAAATCATGTGGAAAAGTCAACTGGGGACATATATGGGTTCCAAAATATACCTGATTGATAGATCATACTGGCTTTTTTTTTTTTTTTTTTTTTTGGTGCCATTTTCGATAGCTGTGTGCGTATTGCTGTTGCAAAGGGTCACTGGCTCAGCTGGAGCACAGGTGAATGTTGATTCCAGGGCCAGCTGTGGTCCAGGCAAACTTACGCTGCATCAGCCTGGAGGGCTGCCCAGGCTGCAAATCCAGGCTGACTCCAGCTGAATTTGTGCAGAGCCAATCTGGTTATCAGTAACTTGTATTATCAGGCTCACAAAAGACATCTGAGGGACTCCATCCAGCTCCAGCAGAACTGTGTGAGCGCTGCAAGATTGGCCTGGCGTCGGCACACATATTCTGTAATGGCTTGAAAGAGAAGGCACTGTGACATGAATGAGCAAAATCAGCCTAGATGTACAGCGTAGGCCTCAAGGGGGAAGTCAGTGCATTGAAGTGGCATTGCGTAGAAACAGGACGAGTCGAGCAGACTCTGGGCAAGCTACTGGGATGGTGGTATGCAACGTACCCCCATCACACCCTGTATTATCTAGGGGGTTGTTGCCAGGTGTTCCCAGTCCCCCACAACCTAAAGTAACAGCACGCTGTCTAGCTGTACTTGAAAACAAAAGACTGCAGCTAGACGTTGCACAGATCACCAATGCTTCTGGTCGTACAAAAACCCCATGCATAAGTAAAGAAAGACCATGCTAAAAACTACAGCCTCCTGGTTGGATGTTAACTAGTAGAAAAGTAGGGGAACAGACTTGAAGCTTTCAGACATCTTTGCAACACTGACACAGGGTGGAAAGTTCTGGAGCGCATTGGAAAAGTATATTTAATGTGGGCTTGTCATTCCTGGAGCTGCAGGGCAGTAAGCACGTGTCATTCCAATGTTTAGACGTACTGCATCTGCTGTTACATAGCTCCTCTCTTCTGGAAGAGCTTCATGATCTATGTTGTAGGTTGCAAAAGTTACTCAAGTTGAATGAGTTTCAATCCTGTAATTCAAACATATTTGCTTTCCTCCCAAAATAGGCAATCAAAAGAAAAATAATACTTAAGTGTAGAGGAACCAAAAGTCTGTGATTCTGAAGTGTAGCTGTCATGTGACTGTTTTGCATTAGTAATTTGGAGGCTGTGAGACCCACAATGAGAGACAGAACTAGAATTGGGGATCAGGGGATAGGATTGACAAGTCAAAGAGTCCAGAGTGTCCTTTGCCAGGCCTTTGACTTATGTAAACACCCTCTTTGAAACCTTGACCCCAAATCCGTCCCAACTTCCTCATGTTGTTTTCTTCCACCCATGAAGAAGACATCAACTAGATTTCCCAGGGTACTTATTTTTTGCAAAGGTGGAGCAAGATTGTGCCAGGTAACAACAGGTTACTAGTAGTAGTATCACACTTGCGTCAAACTGAGGCTTTAAAACTCAGCCATCTGAAATGACAGCTCAGGAAAAATCTGCCAGGTAGCTGGCATGGTAGGACACCTGAATGGGTGCCTGGCTATAAATATTGCTTGTGATGTGCTCAGCAGTTTTGCACAAACCTCATTTTTAATATCCCTTTACCACGGACATACATGTTCCTTTCAGATAACCGCCAGGCAAAGGGAGGTGAGGCCAGCTGAGCAGCCGGGTGCTCTGCTCCCAGGCATTGCTGCTGGGTCTGCTCTTTGGGAAGGGGGTGAAGGAAAGGAACTGGCTTTTATAAATCGGTGCACACTCCACAGTTGTCACGTATTCTAAGATCAAAATAGTACCAAATTCAGGTTTGTCTACAGAGCTTTTAAACAGATGGCAGAAGCTGAGCAGATTTGATAATGGTTTCACTCACTCGTCAGATGTCAAGGTCCAGTGCTATTGTTTGGCTAGTGGCAGAGATCGGAGCAAATCCTAATGCCAGACTTACCTAGCCTGGGATCTCTCCAGAGTTTGGACATGTTCATAACGGGGTGGGGTTAGTTCGAGCTCATCTGCTTCCTGTGAAGTGAGGTTTATAGCCCTGTTCTTTTGCCAGTTCTGGGAAGAAGCTGGGCAGAGGGGAGGCCTGTTCGGACACATACACATTGAAGAAGCAGAGAGTCTGAACAGGAAAATGCTTTGTTTCAGGGATGGGTCACCACAGGCTCACAAAAGGGTAAAAGCCAAACTTCTCCAAGGAAGACTAGATATGCCAAAATATCACAGGAGGAGCTGCTGGTGGAATAGTTCCAGCCCAGCTGGAAATATTGGAAGTCACAGCAGAGAATCAAGAGTGATTCCAAAAAATCTTCTTCCTGATCTTACTCCCAGGGGGACTGATTTCATGATTTGCAAAGCCAGGGGAGATGGACAGGCTGAACAGGCATGACTGAGTATTCAGTGCTGTTATTCAGTATCTGGAACATATTTAGGAGTTGTAGCTATGAGTTAGACCTCCTTTGTGGTGCATGCTGAGAATCAGAGAACCCAGGGGTGGTGGTCCTTGCCCCAGAGTTTTCAAACGAGAGGAACCAAATGCAGACCTATCCAGATCTCTTTGACAAGGGATCACCTAGACCTGCACTGAACACATGTGACTGATGGACTTGAAAAATCCATCATTTGATTAAAAAATTGGCTTGTTTTATGTCAGTGTTGGGAAGAGTACATTACATTCATGAGTATGCTTTCCTTCAGGGTATGTTCCCACTCACAGCTTGTAGCCTAGAAAGGTCTTAAAGTAGGAGCTGTCCTCTTCTCTGTACAGCTCAACAGGTCCCAGCCCTGTGATGAGGGCTTCTGAGTAGCGCAGTCACAATACTAGTTAATGAGGAACTGTGCTCAGATACTAGTATGCAGTAAAGAGTTAAAACTGAATTTGAAAATAAAGAGTGTGGGGTGGAGCAGAATAATCTATATCTTTGTCATCACAACAGAAAAGGATTCTTTCCATTTAAAATACCAGAGAAATACAACTCGGCATGTGTCAGTTCTTCCGTAAAGCATTTCTTCCAAGTTTGCTGTGTCTATTACAGGAGAGGACTCTCTGTAGCAAATTATTTAGGGCTGGCTATTGTTTTTGGTGGCCACTGTGTTCTTGCTTTGTCTTTCACCCTCTTCTGCCCTGCTTTCTTACGTGTCACTTTTTGCTGATCACAGGAGCCGGTGCTGATTTTGTCATGCTTGGAGGAATGTTTGCAGGCCATGACCAGTGTGCTGGAGAGATTATGGAAAAGAATGGCAAGAAGGTGAAACTCTTCTATGGAATGAGCTCTGATACAGCCATGAAGAAGCATGCAGGAGGGGTTGCTGAATACAGGTATGAATTCCACACAGGGGCAGTTGCAGTGAGCCAGCCATCCAGTAACTTCTGGAGCAGAATTGTTCAAAAGGCATCTGTTGGAAACAGGCCTATGTCTCTATTCCCATTTAGGAAGGTGTTACCAACACTTACGGCAGCAGATCAGAGGGAGGGATGACATCAAGGGGGAGATAGGGAGAAGGAGCTGGGACTGGCTCGCTGAAAGCAACCGTGTTCCCTCGATTGCAACCAGTGCAGTGTGCTGTCACTGCAGCACTAGCTGTGCGGCCTGGGAAGTCATTACGCACTGTTCTGACTTATGGGTCTCTTGGGATGTGTATGAATTGAATGCTGGAACATGGCATACCAGGCTGCAATTTCTGGCCCTCTCCTTGTCCAGGTTGGGTGTCCTGTTGGTGTTTGGGTTCTCGGCTGGCCTACGTGCTCCCTTGTGTTTGCAGAAAGTGGGTGACTGGTGAATCGGTGAAGCTCAGCTGAGGTTTCCCCAGTATAGAGTTGAGTTACAGCTGTCCCACTAATGAGGGCTTAGGACCTCCAAAGCACTCTCAGCCACAGGCAGTAGCCCGTGGACTCCCTCCTGCATTGTTGGGCAGTCTTCTTAGGCAGCAGAATCCTGCTGTACAGATTGCTCACCCCTTTCTGGGTAACAGAGCACCAGAGTAGCCCCAAATCACGCAGCATGTGGGAGCTTGGGTTTTGAGCTAAAATCCTCAGGGGAGAAGAAAGGAAGACAGACTTTGCAAAGGAATCTCTTGTCCATTGCTATTTTACTCCAGAAACTACTGAGAATATTGAGTTTTTGAAAAAGCAGATGAGTCCAGAAAACCTCTGTGTCTTTTCTCTTACGAGTGGCAAGTATAGCCACTGCCCTTAGACAACATGGTTCTTGCATACTTTGTTAGAGAATGTTTCCTGGTTTACAGTATACACTGGTTTATTGAGGGGGTCTCTTTTGATTCTTCTCCTCTACTGTGGTAGATTCAGGCTCTGGTCCCATTTGCTAAAACGCTGTTTTAATAAGAGTGTGAACAAATGAATGAATGAATTGACACTGGTCCTCCTTAAAAATAAGATAAAGTGCAAGTATTATGTCTTGTAAGAGTAAAGGTTGTACAAAAAGGCGTTGTATTTGGCTGAGTCTATCTAGACCCTTTCAATTCCTTATGGGCAATACTATACAAATTCTGCTTGATCCATAGCTGTATTTTAGTTTGCGTCCTGATTTTAGAGTCCCGTGGGGATCAAGTTCTGAAACCTCAGCAACAAGGGAGTTGGAAGCACAATCTGAAATTTTTAGTCCCTGTTGAGATGCTGCCTTTTTGTGCCACTAGCAGGTAACACAGAAGGAGTCCCCCCCAGTCTACTTCTAGCTACAACAGCTCCAAACATTCAATCTGTAAGCCTTGGCAGGTAACTGTGGAGGAGACAATTCCCATCATCTTGTTCACCTGCAGCCACGACGCAGAGCCCATACCAGCCTTGATCTTGGTCTTGGTCTTGTTTGGCCTGTCCCAGCACGAGTGTCGCTGTCGTTTAAAAATAGCAACTGTTAGTTAGCCGGCACTGGAAATGTGCTGGACATTGAAGGGATGATTGGAAACAGGGCAAGGGTTTGCTTTGAATTACTCTTACAGGGAAAGTTATAGGAAGCTTGGTCACTCGCTAGTTTAACTTATGGCAAACTTGAATAAAAGGGTTTTAAAAGTCAGCATTTTAAATGCTGGATACCCCAAACAGGTCAAGCCAGTAGGGCTTCTTTATGCGTATTTAAAAAGCCCAGCCATAAGTCTCTATCAGTGACCCCAGTAAGCTGTTTTGTCTTTAAAAGAGCCTGAGCACTCCCAATGTTTTATTCAAGCAGTGGGGAGCTCAGTGTGCTCAGCCCCCTGCAGAAGCAGACTACTTGTCACTTAACTTCATCTTCTCAAAATTACACATTTTGGCTGGAGAACCTGAGCCTGCAGCAAACAGTTAAATTAAAATTGACAGGTACGGTGAGATGGCTGTAGCAGGGAATGAAGTCGTGAGAGTAATTGTTCTCGTAATGAATATGTCAAGTTGATCCCATTTAATTTTGTATGAAAGCTGTGTACCTGGTTTCATTACTTTTATGTCATTTATATATTGGTTTATTTTTACATTTTTACTTCCTTCCATGAGGAACAGGGATCAGAGCTGTGAATTTCTGAAAGGCAATTATTAAGTTTCTTTTATGGGAGAAAAGAAATAAGGCAAGCAGGAACAGAGACCCCATGCAGTATTGTTCAGTTAGAGCCAATTTGCTTTTGTTAACCCTTTTGAGATTTCACAGGTTTTGTATGAACGCTGCGGTTCTACTGTGGTTGCTCAGCAATTCACAGCTGCCACTAAGCTGGGTTTTGTCACTTATATACTAACTGTAGGGTGGAATTTGGGCCACAGAGACAGAATAGCACCAGCAGCTGGCTGCTACTTACTGTCTTTTTTCTGTATCCCAAATGAAAGCCTGGAAGACCTGCCCCCAATTCCTACCATTTCTTAAATGTGCCCCTCATAAGGTTGCTTCATGCCACAGCGGCCTGACCCCTTTACCCTGACCCACATTTTGCGGGGCTGAGAGCGCACCATCACAGGTGCTTCACCCCGACCACCCTGCCAGGATTCCCACGCACCCTGCGCATCCCTCCGTGCCAGCAGCAGGCCTGAGCTGGCCGGGAGCTATGGGACACACCACAAATTGGACCCTGTGCAAAAAGTCTAAAGCAAGTATGTCGCCCTTTCTATTCACCGTTCAGTGGTTAGCGAGAGACAGAGAGCCCCTGCCGAGAGCATCTGAGCACACCTTTCCCAGCTGTTGGCAGTCCTGGTTGTTCCGCCTTCACCTTTCTTTTCTGAGAAAGGGTTAGTTTTGGGTCATAACAACTCCAGGAGAGATGTCAGAGCAGCAAATCCCTCAGCAGTTCCTCCTGACTTGCTTATGCGGCTCTCTGCCAAGTGTGTCAGCTTTTGTGACACTGCTTCTAATCCACGCATGGCCTGTGCACGGACATTTGTGGCTGGCAAAACAGTCTCCAGTTGGGGATTTTTTTTACTTAAAGTTTTATTTATTGCCAACTAACACAACTTTCTAATCACTGTTGGGTAATTAAACAAACACGTAAGTGAACACCGTTCCTCCCGCTTTTCCAGATGCCACTTAAGCCAGACACCTCTCTTCACCCCACCGTGTCTGAGCTCCCCTTGCTTTCACCACAGGTCACAGTCTGTCCCAGCTCCTTCAGTGAGGAAAGGGGTGGCACAGGCCATTGTGGTCATGGGTGTAATGGTTTCTCTCTGCCACTCCTCCTTCTTACTGTGCCTGCTCCATCGTGGGTTGTCCACAGTCCCTTTGTGGCTGTCCCTGCTCGGGCACGGGTCACCCAGGGAGTGCAGTCCCTTTGGGAGCGCACACCTTTGGCATGGAGCACCTCATGGTCATCGTGCATCTCCAGCTGCCTGTCTCCTCAGGTGGGTCCCCTCTCCCAGGGGCTGCTGCTGCTGTTTCTTAAATACACTTGAGCAGAGGCATCATGGGCTCTTCTAACGGGCTGAAGTTTTGGTGGCTCACACCATTTTCAGAGCCAGGTGGAACCATTTATGTGACTGGCACGAAGCTGATCACCGCCTTCGCCCACACAGGGCACACCGGCAGCCCTTGCTACTCAAAATCTACCATATGTGCCCAACACAGCACTCCTGTGTAACAATTGAGTACTCATGCATTAGCAAATTGGGCGCTCATGCATGCACCAACAGGGTGCTTGGGCATAAATTATTTGAGCGTGCATGCATGAACTAATTGGATTCTTATGCAAAAATGTGCTGGGTTTGGGCATTTGTGGCATTAATTGGGCATTCATGCATAAATTATTTGGGCACTCATGCATTAATTTATTCAGTGCTCATGCATGAACTAATTTGACAGTCACACAAGAACGCAGCAAGCCCAGCGATTTACGGCCTATATGGTACTTGTCTCCTCTGCGAGGTGCACGGCGAGGAACTCTTTGAATGTTAATCCATTACAAACTCTTTCAACATCGTCACAATCTTAATGTACATCGGTTATAAACTCCACTCTTCCTCCCTTTGGACCAGACAGTAGGGATTAATATTAACACTGTAGGAGCACACTTAGTAAAATGTCACTCCTCCAGCCCGAGCACCATGTTAAAAGGGTTAACATCACAGTTTGGTTATATACCCATCACAGACCCCCACCCCTGGACCAGCCTGCAGCAGGTAACAGTTGAAAAACATGTGCATATGCTTACCAACAGTCCGCCCGCTCTCCCCTGGGAACCAGGTGACAGGACTCATCAGCACAGTCTGGGCAACATGTTACCTGTTACAAACTCTGCCCCTCTCCCCGGGGACTAGAGTATTGGGGTTAATGTTCACACAGCCCAAATACCTGCCTATCCACAAACTTCATGTGGACAAGACTATGGAGGTTAATATTACAATGATCTGAGCACATGCTTATTACAAACTTCAGACTTTGTGTCTGCAAAGCACATACCCAAGAAAGCCCCAACAGTTTGAATATATACCCATTACAAACTCAGTCTCTTGCCCCTGTGGACCCCTATCAAAGGTAACATCATCATAATCTGAATGCTTGATACAAATCTTGTCCCTTCAAAAAGACCAACCAAGAACATAATGGCAGTTCACGTTGTTCAATGTGCTTTAGCATAAAAGCATATGCTTAAGCTCATACAAGCAAAAATTAATGCTGTTGTAAAGGTACCACTAGGGCCATGAGCTCAGTAGCTGTAGGCTTCATTTGTATCCAAAATGGAGGCGGGGGCGTGTAGGGCAGTGTGAGCAGTGTTCACATGCAGCAGCGTGGGCATGTCCTCGTTTGGGGAGTAGGATGACACACCAAACAGCTTCGCTGTCTTGGGCCTTGCTCCACAGCCGTAACAACATAAACTGAGCTGTGACCTTCTTGCTGCGCTTGCGGTTGCTTAACTCACAGCTCTAGATTTCTGTCCCACTTCCATCCTATACTCCTCCTTTTCCTTCTGGAACATCTGTTATTCCCAGCATGTAGAGTGGGAGAATGGAGACTTTTTCAGCCCTTTTTGACACTTTTTTCCAAGGATGAACATAAAACTGGACTGTCAGCATTTTCTGTGGCACTAACCTTACCCCTTCTTCCAGCATGCTTCCCCTAGTATGGTATCTATAGGTTGCTCCTTGATCAACAGGATATCCCATCAGCTTATCAGCTGATACTAGAGGAGCAGTAGCAACTGTCCAGCTGCCAGAGCTTTGGGGCTGTGATGCTGGCTGGTCACCACTTTTGTAGGTTTTGGTCTCCAGAGCCAAAAAAGTGGCATCTCACAAGCTCCAGCTTCCTAACATCACCATAGCCACTGCAGGGGCAGCTCCCAGGGGCAGTGGCTGTAAGTGTCCCACATTTCTGTAATTTTGCTCTGAAAAAAAGGACCACCAAGTGTTCACGCTCTGAGGAGCAACGTTCCCATCTCTGCAGGTCTGTTGAACCACTGTAACTGGAGCTGCCTTTGTTTGCCGTCAGCTCTCTGCTATCAAAAACACCTGCAATTTATGCCCCACATGATGCTCAAGCATGAATTAACAAACAGGGCACTCATGTTTGCACTGATGGGGCATTCATGCATAAATTAAAACTGGACTCTCATGCATGAACTGAATGGGCAGTCTTGCATGAATGCAGTAAACCCTACATTTCTTGCCCAGTACAGCGTGCAGAGCTCTTCATATGGCAGGAGCTGGTAGGTAAAATTTGCACTGGTTTCCCCAAATCCCAGATGTGCACTGCTCCTTGCGATCTTGCTCCCGGAGGCTGAGCTGAACCTCCCGACTTTGACTGGAGGAGGTGGGCATGGCTGAAAAACCAAGCTGCAGAATGGTAGCATGACTACTTTTGTGTTGTTTTGTGGGCCCGGCCTCCTCTTCCTGCTGGCCCTGGAGCTGAAAATAAAAGCCTGTGAACTCCCAGCAGCAGAGGCCCTACAAGACCCCCCCCGACTGCATGGCAGGGGTACATACATTTTCCATTGGCCACTCGTTACAGTGTTTATTTAAGAGTTTCGAGAACGAGTCAATTACTCATCAGATGTAGGGAGATTAATCATGGTTCCTTATTCACATGGCATATTAACACATCGCCTTTATTGTCTCCCTAGGGCTTTGACCTCACATTTAAACTAACAAACAGAATGAAATACAGCCAGGCTCACACTGAAGTACCTCCACATAGCCGCTGTTGCTGTTGTTAATGATTTGCAAGTGGAGCCTCCAAACAGGCATGCCCTTCTTCCTTGCTCTATCCCCTAGACAACTTGTTTAAGGGAGAGGTAAAGCCACATTTATAACAATGACAGATCCCTGCCTCAACTTCTGCCTCCATTTTGTAGGGGAGAAGGAGAGCAATCCCCTCTCCCCTCCGCATTTCTCTTGGACCCCCTCCCTTCCCAAAGCCTGCCTCTCCAAAGGAGCTAGGGTGGCAGGCAGGACAGGCTGGCTCTAAAGCCTGGTGAGCTCAGCTGGTGATGGGGGAACTCCGCTGCAGGAGGAATTGCTGAGCATGAGGCTAGAGAAAGCTGAAGGGGAAGGAGTGAAAGCTATTTGCCTGGATTCTTCCATTGTGTAACTCTTCAGATGTGCTTTTGGGTACAGTGCAGTCTGTGCTGGCATGCGCCTGTACTGATAGTAGTCATAGCACAGCTGTTTTTTTTCTGGCCTTTTTGCCTGGCTCTGAACTGTGCTAGCTCACCTTTCAGCGTCAGGGGACAGCTCGACAGGGGGTTTCCCACTCCATTTCTGTGGGCTCCGGAGAATCGGGCTGGTAGGAGACAGCCGGAGCATTTCCATCCGTGTCTGGTCAGTGACATGGGATAGAGCCCAGGGGCTGTGAAGCCTCTGTAGAGCTGTGCTGAGGTGCCTGCTGAGAACCAGCTCCAACATTTCTGTAAGTTGCTGGAACCTGGCTGTTCCTTATACTTCAACCCTTGCAACTCTCAAGGTCAAATTTACCTTTCAATAAACCTGGAAGCTTCACTTGCTTGTAGGCAGGTGGTGGAGGGGTGGAAGGGGGAGAGCTGTAAATACACTCATGAGATAGTGGGGCATCTACAAGATCTCTCCACTTCTAGTTCCCATATTGGTGGTGATGGGAGCTGAGGCATTTCAGGGCTTGACAGCACCAAGCAGCAACAGTCAAGCAAGCAATAAAGCTGGAGGGAACATTTGTAAACTGCAGTGTGCAGAGTATTAAGCTCCACATTGCTCTGGCAGACATACTGTTATGTTTTGCATCTAGGCATAAATAATGCAGTAACCAATCTCTTCTCCAGGGCTTCGGAGGGCAGAACTGTGGAGGTACCGTACCGAGGGGACGTGGAACTCACCATCCTGGACATCCTCGGTGGGCTGCGCTCCACCTGCACCTACGTGGGAGCTGCCAAACTCAAGGAACTGAGCAGGAGAACTACGTTTATCCGGGTCACCCAGCAGCACAGCCAGGTCTTCTCTTAGTCTGGCACTGGGGGGGCTGGAGAGAGAGGGGTGGGGGAGAGGAGCAGGAAGGGCTGCTGTTTTGTTTTGCATTCTCCTTCATGTTGTGTTAGTGGCAAACTCTCCTCTCTCGGCACGGCAGTGTCATAGCCATTGGAGGGGCTATGGCTGGGGTTTGGAAGGGGAAAGTCGTGCCATTAACACCATGCCATTGGTTCAGGATGCAATAGCCTCATCTTTTATTGTGCCTACTTTATTTTTTAATCAACATTTCTTCACTTATGCCCCTCCCCCCCCACCCCCCCCGATAAATAGCTGCTGAAACCTCAATTAACAAGGAATTGGCTTGTACAGACATGGCTGTTAGGCCTGCACACATCCACACATGCCTTTTTTTTAAGACTGACCTGTCAGCTACCACTGCTTCTGGCAGTGCACCCTGCAGAAATTGCAGGCTGGCAGAGAAAAGGATGCAAGCAATTGCATAGAGAAGTCAGAAATCAAATTCTCTTAATCTTTGTTCTGGCAAGAGAATGGCTGTTGGTGGCACGGCTGCCAGCCTGCAGAATGTCAGAGGTGGATGAGGCCTGACTACTGGTGACTTCTTACGGTGATGATAAAAATGCCAGATGTCTTTCACTCTCAGTTCACAGGGCTGGTACAGTCGTTCTAACTTAAATCTCCTTATTCAGTGGACTTGCCTCTTCAGAGAAGCTGGCATTGAATGTAGCAAACCCGTCCTGTCCCCCCTGCCCCCATCTGTGGAGATCATTCAGGAGAAAACGTCTCAGAGCTTGCCTGCTTTTTTTGTGCGTGCAGTTACTGAATTACCTGGGTTCCTGCTTGTACCTGCTCTCTGGGAACAGATTTTTAAGACACTGAACCTCAGAAACAGTAACCTCACGTAGGGGGGGTGTGTTTCTCTGCAGCCCTCCCTGTTCCCTTACCTGTTCATACCCATTTAGCAAAGATGGAAAAAGGCTGCGCTGTGCATTGTCTGCGGTCAGGTAATGGCGGCTGGAGGGATCAAATTCACTTTTGGTTATTTGGTACCACTCCTTTGCGCTCCCTGACACCATGAAAAGCAAAAGAGAGCTTTTGGCAGAATAGCCTGATTGCAAGACGCTGGTAGGCTGAGGTGGAGTTAAAGCATTTGTTCTAAAGGCAGTAATGAATGTTTAAGACTCTGGGTAACACTTTAATAAAGTGTAATGGCCCGCTAATTAATTGATAAATCGCAATGCAATTTCTTTGGAAATACACATTGCATCCACATGAATACCACAGTAGCTCGTTATGATAAATGATGTAAAAGTAGGCACCAATGAATTAATAATGCTTGGCCACTTACTTTAAAGTGCTGCTGAGATTGTAACACAGCTCTTCAGTACTTCAGAGTCTTCCTTTCCCCTCCTGTAGACATCTGTGGAAAGAGGCAGGCTTCCTTTGAAAAGCAAAAGAGCGATCTGTAGGAAGAGGAATAGGAAAGAGAAACTCTAGAACTAAACTCGTATGCTGGACTGCTCAAAAAGCCATGCACAAGGATTGGTACAATTGACCACGCGGAGCAGCAAATGTAGGCCACCAGCTGATCCCTGGGGACTCTGAAGTGTGTTCTGCACATTAGAAAAAGCACAGGATAGCTTCTAAATAGCCTGGTATTTTAAATGGCTTCCATTTAACATGTAGGACATCATAATTCTTAATTGCGGTATGACCCCTTCCTCTGCATTGGAGGTGAACAAGGGCCTTAATGTGAGCACAGGTTATGCTTGCACTGGCTTTAAGGACCGTTTGCCCTGCCTTCATACCATAAAGGAACCTGAACGCAGACGAGGAGCAGGCCCTACGAATAAAGGACCTCATCTCTGTTCCCTTCAGCCTGAAAGCATCACGTTAAGAAGATGCCAGGCTCCCTCACCACAAGTCCTGCCCTGGGCTACGTACTGCTCTTACCTGCACTAAGCCCAGGCTACAGGCAGCAGCACTACTCTGCGTCATCAGGCCGTTCCTTTGTTCAGGTGCTGCCAAGGGTCGGGGTACAAAGGCAAATGAACACCTCCGGCGGGAGTGGGGTGAGCCCATCGCGGCGCAGGCCTGGCCACAGGTGTGTCTCCACGCTCGTGCCTTCATACGTGGGAAGTGCAGCAGTCTGCTGGTCTCACGCCGACTCTCGCCAGCGCTTTTCTATTTTTTTTTAGCTACATTTCTAAATGGAATTTTAGAAATACATATACATATAAAAAAATATATATATTTGTAAACATTTTTAAAAAGATCATACACACACTGAAGAGAGCAGCTTCATGACATGTCTGTGGAACAGTTTCTTTTCCAAAGGGCAGGCAGCGGGGGCAAGGGCAGGCTGCCTCTCCGCGGGGCGGCAAGCGTGGAGCCTCCCGGGGCAAGCTGCTCACTTCCACAGCCAGCCTGGCCTGGCGCCACTGCTGATGCCCACTTCCCGTCCCCTTTCGCACAGACCTGTGCTGACCGAGCGCTAAGAGGAAAGGACGGGGATAGGCTAAGCGTAAGTTGTCCCCCGAATTGTCCAGGCTGTGAATGACATTGATGCCAAGAATAGTTACTGATAAAGCTTTGACGTAAGGTATTTGGTTTTCTAAATAGCAGCTCTTACCAGCATTTTGATAAGCAGCATCTTTTCTTTCTATTTAATTTTCTCCTCCGAAGTGAGCAGGAGAGAGAACTCAGCTGCAGAAGGGTGAACTGGCAGCATGTCTGCATCTCACCCAAAGTTACATGCACGTTTTGTTCAGGGATAACCCTCATTTATGTCAGTGCTGACCATGGACACTGTACGTGTCCAGCTTTCAGACAGGCTGGAAAAATGGGAAAAAGAGGAGCTTGAGCCGTCCTTTAACACCCAGTCCCATGCTGTAGTAGCGGCCCTCATCTTCACTTCGCCCCAGGGCCTGTGCCCTGCTCAAGCCCGCTGCCGCTCTCGCAAGGAGCTGGGGCAGAGAGGGGGCTGAGGGCACGCTGTGCCTGGCAGGGTGGTCCGAGCAGAGACCACAACCGCTGACAAACACCACGTGCCCTTTGTGGATCTACCTCGCCTGCATGTTTAACCGCATTCTCTGTTGCTTGGTGTCCCGCTGTGGGAAATTACATTTGTAAGTGCTTAGTGTGGAGTGATGCTGCGTAACCGGGTCTTCTTCAACCCTGTCACCCCAACCCCATCCCGTCTAGTGGAGCACCGTGGGTGTGATAATCTGCACTGTAGGTCAAGGTCATGCCTGCTTCCCCCAGCCAGGCAGTTGTTAAGTTGAGCACCCAAGAGCAATGTTGAGGTTCCGCAGTGGTTTAGTTTAACGTACCGAAAAGACCTACCAGCAGGGATGCTGAAAAGGGCAACGTTACGTCATTAAAGCAATCCCTGCTGAGCACGTCCATCTTGGCTTCTTGAAACGTAAGGCCACCTAAACCACCCCTGCTGCTCCCCGTCACATTCTGGACTCGCCTCGCTGCAGCAGGTTTGGCCGAGTGGGCTGGCTGTCCCTCCTGCCCACGCAGCCAGGCTTACCTGAACGCTCCTTGGGGAGGAAGGGCTTGGCACAGCACCAGCCTTGCTCACGCCCGAGTGACTGTGTGGTGGCTGCGAGGAGCGCACGTGTAGACCTCCTCGTAGGCGTGAGGCCGGCCTGTGAGCGGCGTGGGCCTTCAGCCAGCGTCCTGCCAGACACAAAACAAGGCACGCAGGTCTCCTTTCTCTGAAAGAAACAAATGCACGCACCCAGGGGTGCGCGCCTCCCCCCTCTGCTCACTGGCACAGCCAGCTCACCCCCATCGGCCATCGGCCACGGGGCAGGGGCTCTTCTCTGCAGCTTTCTTCTCGCCTTAGGGCATGCGGGGGTGTTTGAATGAGGATGGGGCCACCCTGCAAATATGAAGAGTGGTAAGAAGGGGCGGAAGGAGGTTGCATTTGGAGGAGCTTTTCTCATACAAAGGGTGCCTGAATTGTCAGTAGGATGGGGGTGAGCAAGAAACAGAGCAGCAATTAGCCAAACCCCACTGTGTTGGGACAGGGGCCGGTGCTTTTCAGTCATGGGCACGGTGAGAGTTTGAAGCCCTTTCTGAACCAAGCACTGCCTACTCTGTACCTGTTGAGCTCCACTGTCTTGAAGAGACTTGCTGCTACAGCTTTCTGCCAGTGTACGCACAGTGTCTGTCCATCACTGCCTCCCACCCCTCCACCCAAGGGATGTTGCTTTTTCGTTGTCGGTATCAGTTTTATACGAAAAGTTCTTTGTTGGAGCCAGGAGGGCTTCTGCAACCAGCGCCAGGTTTGGCCTTGCTTGTGTAGCAGAGAAAATAACCCCCCCAAAAGCCAAGGCCCAAGAATGCCTTCTGCGGCAGCCAGAGCTGGTGGGCAGGAGCGGTCCAGGCCCTTGCCTGGGGGCTGGGAGCTGCTGGGGGGCGGAGGGGCCAAGGCATCTCCATTAGATGCTGGCACAGCTCCGCGCCCCAAAACACAGCACGGACCTCCCCCCTGCAGCCTTCGCTTCGCTTGTGGTCATTCAGAGGTTTAAGCGAGCCCTCCCCAACGACACTTGACACAGTGCTTACCGGTTGAAGTTTTCATACCTAAATAAATAGTTCAGAGTCCGAAACTCCTTGGTGTTGCCTGCAATAACCGTGAAGCGATTCTGCGTCATCGGCCAAAAAGAGCCGATGAGCATTCCATGTTTTCCTGCCCCGCTGAGCTGGCGATGACGAGCGCTGCCTCCCCTCATCCGCAGCAACTGTGCACACGCGGTACAGTCGCCTACAGCGTTCAGAAGTTGTAAACGGGAAGTTTTTGTTACGCGATAAAGAGCTTCACCCTGATGGTCCGGAGAGAGGTTTATGGCCGTGGATGGGTACGTGCGCGTTTCTGCGTTGTGGAGAACAAAAGCAAACGCTCTCCCATCCAGTCATAACTTATGAAGACAAAACACGCGTTTGCAATTGGCACTGTTATTTTATTAGTACGAGTATACTGAAACAATAAACTTGTACTGGTATACAGACAATTTCTTTAAAACAATTTTGTTCAAATTTTGAATCAAACATTGTTTTATTATAATAATGAAATAATTTCTACCTAGAAAACCTGCAAGCACCATCAAAGAAAGGGACCATAAAATTCAATAAACAGACGCGAGTGTATCCTACAAATAGACACACCACCATTAGAAAATAGAATATGAATTCTTCCATTTTTTTTTTAATATTTGTTTTAAAAAAGCTAGTGCAAGTACAATATTTTACACTG